TTTTGATTAAAATGTGACCGTGTTCAATTTTTATTTTTCGAAAACTATGACATATTGGTGGATCGAAAGAGACCTATGTCCAGCAGTGGACCACTGTGGGCTGATGATGATGATGATGACAAATTATTCTTCAAAGGCGTTTTGGAAATAATACTAAATTCGAAAGAAATATAAGGTAGGAAAGAAGTAGACCTAAGAATAAAATGGACGGATTGCGTGAAAGACAATATGTGTAAGAGGGGAGTGAGCGAAGAAACGGTATATGATAGAGGAGTATAGAAGAAAAAGACATGTTGCGTCAATCCCAGGTAACTGGGAGAGAATGATGATTATGATGATATAGCTAAGAAGAAGTAGAAGGTAATATAATAAGGAGCAACGTAGTATCTCTTACTCCGCTAAGTTTTCTTGCTACTCGAAACTGTTTTTTTTAATACCCATGCATCCTTTAATATATCCAATGAATGGTGAATTGTTCGCCAAGACTACCCTGAATTTGACAAAATTAAGTTCATTCTTCAACTAATCACCTTCAATCGTTAAACTGAAACTATAGCTTAACACTAAGTTGAGTTTTTAATTCTCTTTTGTTAACTTGATGCCCCATATAATGAAGATGCAGCTGAGAGAATTGCTTATCGTTCGACATTAAATTTTCTTCAGAGCCGATTTGCAGATCGTTAGTATTGTTTTGAAATATTCACTGAACAGATAACAAACGGAAATAATTAGATCTTACTTATTGTATTTCTATGTTCCTGAAAAATCAATTGAAGATATGTTAATTTCTGTTCCAATAATATTTATTATTTTCTAATTTTTTTCAACAATTAATTTGAAAGAATATTTGTTTAGCGAATTTTTGTAAGGAGGTTGTGGATTACTGTCGGTGTTTACCATTTTGCTAATAAAATATCTATAGCCATTTTCGATTACCTACTAACTACTGATTAATCCGATTCGACCTTTAGCATTTTATCCGAAAGTTTTAATTACATTCTCTGTGAAGCAGGGTCGCAGGTTGATTTAGATTTTAATTGATTATTATTTTGTTGAATCATGCATTGGAATGTTTCCTGAGTCATCTAAATTTCAAATCAACAATGCTTGTGGAATCCATTCCGGTAAGATTGAGAGCAAATCGCGTTAACAATATCAATACTATCTTTTTATGAGGTATTCCATAATTTATGAAGTGTTGAATTACGTCTACAGACATAGGTATTTTTTTAGGAGCCATTTAATTGTTTACATGGTATTTTTTTTGCTAAAAGGAAAAAAAGCACATGTGGCACTCGGGAACTGCCGCGGTAAAGGCAATAATAATTTTATTTTCGTTCGTTTTATTTTCGTTACGGAATTTCTTGATTCGGTCGTCGCGCTCAAAGCCCACGAGAAAAGCTATGCAATAGCTTAAAAAGTTACTGACTTTAACAATACTTAGGTAAATAGATAAGTTATCACTGAGCGTTGATGGGAAGTAAATCCATCCACGACACTCATTAACTAAGACCTCGTATGATATTGACGGGTAATTTGGTTTAAGCGACATTGTTGCAACTTTACAGGACAGCCATTTAAAGTGCTTTTTTTTAAATATGACAAAAAACTACTTGAGCTGAATTATGAATGTGGTAAGCTTAATTGAAGTTCAATTAAAGACATCGAATTGTTAATACTTGTACTAAATAAAACGGACCTTTAATAATTACAAAGATAAATAAAGTGTATTAACCGAAATATCGCTTAAACCAAATAGCCTTCCACCCCTCGATGTGTAAGTACATTTATATGTACATACATTTATACATATATTTATAAGTTTTTTTGTTTTGTTTTTTATTGCTTGGATGGGTGGACGAGCTCACAGCCCACCTGGTGTTAAGTGGTTAATGGAGCCCATGGACATCTACAACGTAAATGCGCCACCCACCTTGAGATATAAGTTCTAAGATCTCAGTATAGTTACAACGGCTGCCCCACCCTTCAAACCGAAACGCATTACTGCTTCACGGCAGAAATAGGCAGGGCGGTGGTACCTACCCGCGCAGACTCACAAGAGGTCCTACCACCAGTAATTACGCAAATTATAACTTTGCGGGTTTCACTTTTATTACGTTATTTTAGTACATTTATATCTTTAAGTTTAAATGTAATGTACTCGACCCAAATCTATTATTTTCGTTACAGTACGGTTGTACGGTTGTTGAATGAAATCTGCAAATGTGGCATCGAGCCAGAATGTTCCGGTTCGTTTAGGTCAGATAACACTTCCTATCTAGTGACCATCCCGACTTGTGTACTCGGCCAGCTCTCCTCAAATAAATTAAGATGTTATAAATTTTAACTAGTACCTACCATTTAGCGATAATATTTTAGAAGTGAAAACTTCTTTAGTATCGTTGTGATTTGGAAGTCGATGAAACGAAAAAGCGACAGTAAAAAGAGACAAACACATAAATTCATAAGATTTACCGTGGGAGAAAATGAGATAGAAAGCATTATACAGTGTTTCTTAAATACATGATTTTCTTAGTACTCTGCTTCGTACTTAATACTTTCTGAATAAATCTATGTGATGTATACGAATAAAGCGTAAAATAATTATAAGCTTTGTATCACTATGACCAATACTAAAACCTACAATTATCCTCATCCCGAAATTTTGCATTCGTCTATATCTTTAAGGCAAAATTTTTAAAGATTTCACATCACCACGTGTGAATTGCACACATGTTTTTTTTAAATCAATTTCAAAAGCGGATAATGACCACTTCGGTGGACTAGGCTTTAATAATGTGTATCGCCGTGTCACTGTATTTCTATTTGACAGAATTGATATCATAACAACATTGAGTATTATTACAACTCTGTGGTGTTATTTATATATTTTGTTATATCGCGGCATTTAAAAACAAAAACAGGTTACATTTAAGAATAAAACACCAATAATTATAGTTTTGTTAATATCTACAAATAAAAATTGGTTAGAGTTCCAGTAAAATTAACTTTATATTTGCTCCAAAGTAAAAAACTTACCAAAACTTCTTAAAGCATCAAAGTATCGCCATAAAATAAACTCTGTTGTATTAAGACAACACTAGAGTTGCCAGTAAAAAAGTGCAATTGAAAACAAAGTTTGAGAAGCATTCCTCAAGAGAATCAAGTGGAATGGAGGGGGCGTGTCGTCCCAAATCACCGATAGGGGTAACACTTAGTCTTTTATACGGCCACAATTCCCACTAAGTTTTAAGTGGAAAGAAACCGTAGAGTTTTTCTCAACAGCTTTTTTAACCTCTACTACGAACGCTTTTTATGTTTGTTTTATTGCTCCGGAGGGAACGCGGTTGTTCTGCGGTACGTTAAAATTACCCTACTTTATCTTTTGTCGTATTTATTAATTAACTTGGGTAGTATAGCGTTAATATGCTGAAGTTTTGTTGCTTGGAGCCGAAGCCTAGTAAGTCGTTTCGGTTTATAAGTGATAATGGCAGTATTTGGTAACGCTGTTATGAAAGTTATAATCGTTATGAAAATTATTATGATATGATACTTCTCGAGCATCAACTTGAATTGGATGGTTCCGTTTAGTGCTAATTTTATACAAACTGAGGCACCTGCTTAATTAGATTCAATATGTTATTTATCTTCAAGTGAGGTTTAAAATGAGTCTTTAGCGGTAAGCTACGTCTGCACTCCTAATGCCAAGGAGCGATAGTGACCATAGGAAGTTTACAGTTTCCTCTACCTTTTAGGGGAAAAACTTTTAAGCTCATCTTATGAAGGAAATTAATCAGTGATACTATAATAAAAATATGGTGAACTGTTTTTTCCGGCTCTTGTCACTTTGTTTTGTGTGTGCAATGACAGAGCTTTTTGGATAATATTCGAATCAGGTCCAAGGTCGAGTGATAAGAATATAATATATTGTTCAGGCTATTCGTGAGGATATGGATCCGTAATCCTATCTAGTTCTAGTTAATGCTACATTATCTTAGCTCATCTGAATAGCTCTATATTTTCGTCTATTATCTCCTTCTTCGTAAATATTTTCTGCCCCGGTCCTATAACAAAGTGTATTAACAATTTATATATCTCGGCTGTAAAGACTATGGCCTGAATAGCACTAAGTATATCTAAACGTTTAATATGAACATTCAAAAGATTTTCAGGGCAAATTAACAAAAATCAGTGAATCAACAGGATATAAATGAAATAAAGTTTGCGTGATTGTTAAATATATAATTTTACTCTTTCATTCAATTATTATATTCTACGTATAATTTGGACGGAATTTTTTTAGAAGTAATTATAAAATATTCAATTATAAAAATGGGTTTTCCCTGTTAAATGTTTAAGCTTGCTTCAAGTTTAGCATTAATTTAAGTTCAATTTTATATTATCCAAATTTAGTTAATCATGGTTCATGAAATAAATGCTTGATATTAAGCATGATCTGTACATTTCTGGGTGTATAATGTTGAATTTATTATGTTTTAATTGGTTTGATGATCAATGTTTTTTATTTCTGCGACAAATACTCCTCTCTCCTACAACAATAAATTTGAAGATTCTTAAGTGTCCGATGCTACCAAAAAAGATGTCGTGGGACACCGGATAGGAACGAAGTTCCCTATTATAAAAATATTAATTTTAAGTTCTATTCGAGGTAGGTATAAAGAAAATAATTATTCGGGTATACATTTTTTTTATGATTTTTTTATTGATAAAAGTAAAATAAAAACTACTTTACAAGGTTATCAACTTTATTTTATTCACAATGATTTATAAAAAATATATAATAAAAATATTTGTAAATATATTTTTTGTACGTTATTACAAAGTTAAGTCGTACACTGTGTGCATTACTAATAAAAATCTTACGTTACGGACGTTTTTTCTCGATTAAGGTACCCCGCCGCGTCGTCCCATAAGGAACTTCGTTCCAAAAGTAAGATTTTTTTGGATTGATACATTTCAAACAAATAATTTCTCACCAGTTCCTCCAAATATCCTGGATGAAAAAAGTACGCAGTCAGCTGTTGCGGTGAGAGAAAACCAGAACATCAGCTTAGTCTGCAAGGCTGATGGATTTCCTACGCCCAAGATCATGTGGCGACGGGAAGACGGACAACCGATATCTGTGGACAGAAGGAAGAAAGGTAAATTTAATTGGAGTAAATGATAATCTTTATTCACTCTCGTAGGAAGACGCATGGCTTAAATGTAGCCGCTGCGACTTTCAATCATAAGAGTACATTGTTAATAGTCTAGTCTCGTTGTATCGATTGCTCGTTAGCTTATAGGGCAGTGACATTGACACCTCAAGTCCAGAGTTTGACTGCTGGAATTCTAGCTACTGGATTATTTAAGATTTTTATTTGGCATTCAGGGACTCTACTAAAGAGTATCGAATATAAAGATATTTGATAAATAATATTTCGTCTGTGTGTGTGTCCAGCATCCACAACACAGAAGAACATCGATTTGTATATTTTTAAAGAGCTAAATTCGCTGACTTCTTGGCGATAGGCATGCATGATACCATTTAGACTAAATTAGATTAGTATTACAACTTAAAAATCTAAATAGAATTAATTACTAAACGAATTAAACATTTATATTGCACGTTTATAAATACGAATTCTATTTAGAATGTAATTAGAAAGTCAGCTGAAAAATAATATATTATTTTAACAAGCCGCAAGCCCAGCTGTCGCTAACTATACTGTCCAGGACTCTAATGTTCACGAGTTTATGACAACGGACCGGGACCCGTTTGAAATGAAATGTACACTTGATTCTCAAGCGAGGGTTGAAATTCTATTATATGATACTTAAAATTGGTAAGGTTAATTTGGGGAAGGTTAATCCGGAGCATCTGCGTCTACCGAGACATTTGTTTTGTACTACAAGTTCCACGGGATATTCGAGTGATAAATACAAAGGAATTGCTTAAAAAGGTCTCGCGATCACTGTTTCACTATTGTATCACCTGGCATTGGATTATTCCACTTGTATGGGATCCATTTTGCGTTTTCATCAATTACCTATGCCAACAATTTTGAGTGAATTAGGAAGAATGAATGTGTAACAAAACTCGTCAATTTCACTTAAGTTTCATTGGAAGCGATTTTAAAATAAATAAAAACAATCAGCTCGCAGAAGCTTGACTGTGTCCCTGGCATTCTATGAAAAACAATAATCTGTTTTTATATATTTATAGCCCTTGTAGGCATACAAGCATACGGCCCACCTAATGGTAAGTGGTTACCGTCGCTCAGGGACTTCAATAATGCCAGAGGCAGAGCCAAGCTGCTGCCTACCGTTAAAAACTCTCCACAATCCACGTTTGAAGAAGGACATATCATAGTGCTCGAGAAACACCGTGGAGAGGAACTTATTCTAAAGCCGGATGGTACGTGGCAAAAACTTCTGTGGATGAGCGCAGTGGCTCTAGATAGTATCGATGAACCCTACCCTGGTGGCGGGCGGTACAATGGTAAAAACGAGATGATGGTATCATCTCAAACTATTCTTCAGAGCACTCCCCATGGAAGATACGGTACAAAATATAGAGAGAGTTGAAGTCCCTCCGCAGACCCAGAGGCTCCAAACGATCCCTGAGAATGGGATTATTGACAATCTGAACGGCTCTCTTCTGTGTGGAGCTAAATGGAAGTAGCTGGTATTTAGCAGCCCCGGCCCAGAGGTGGGAGCAGTACTCCGCGCGAAGTTGGACTTGTGCTTTATAAATCAAAAGTCTTTAATTTAACGGCTCTTTACCATGAATTTTCGAATCATCAAATTTAAAGCAGTAAAATAGAATATAATAGAGTATTATAATACATAGCATCCCTAATTCATCTCACCTACATGAATTCCACTGAAAAGGATTAACGCAAAGGCAGATAATTATAGCCCAGGAAAAGCTGAGTTTCGCCAAATTAAACGACAGAAGCACCTATTCGGGTAGCGCTCGACAAAAACCCGAAAATTGGAGTTTAAATTTAAGAGCGATTTCCTTGTTCCGTGCGAGAATTAACGTGCGGTGTGAAGGGTGCACTTGTCGCTAATTGTGTGTGACCCAGTCCGTTCACCTCTCAGTGTAGGGCTGCTATAGATTCTATTCTTGTTTTTTATTTTTGAAGTCTTACGACCGGTACCGTACGAATATCTTACCAGGATTTTTACTGTTTTACTGGATGTATTTCCTTGAATTTAATATTCGAAGAAAATCAATTCCTAATCATCGTTTTCAACTTGAGCTATAGATGATAATTGTGTAATAGAATTACCTTTAATATACAGTCGTGTGTATGTATGTAGTAAACATCAAACGTAACGTAAATGTAATTTTTTTGAAACAAAACGGGTAGCATGTATTTTGTGTCATAAAAATTTTTGGCTGCGAAGATTGCCTATCATTACTATCACCTATTGTAGTTTTTGTACCAGTCTACATAATAATAAAAGTAAAAGGACTTTAAGTCATACACTTTACATTATATCCATGAATGTTTTTTATTTATTTATTTTAAATCACAAACATTTTTTGTAGATGTTTGGCTGTTTCTCGTTTTTGTTCACGCTAAACTCCGCAAGAACTGATCCGATTGCTTTAGATGAACTTTTGTGTTTACGATTATAGGATTTAATATTTATTCTATTATATAGGTACTACTCATTTGACTTTAGATTTGCGTAACTAAACTTTTTTTTATATGTAGCTTATATGTAGCCACCGTTCCATCTATTTTTGCCGCGTAGCGCTAATGCATTCCAATTTAAAGGGTAAGACAGCCGTTACATATTATGTACAAGCCGGATATGAATTCATTCATTTGATCATCATTCATATGAACTCATATTTGTCATGACACTCCCTATTTATAATACAAAATTATACTAGTATTTAAAACTTATAATATAAATTTGTTTTGCTACTACTTCAACAGATTATCCTCGATCAATGACCAATACCAGGAAAAGCCCTATCACTACACAATGAGGAGCCTCTAACAGGGCCTCAAATCCTTTAATTCAGGGACGACTCGTGTTTGTTTATTTAAGAAGCGGCATACAGCCCTAAATTTCGACATGTCACGCCCATCTGTTACGATTATTTGCAAAGGACGCCCTCCAACAAATGTTTTAATTACGCTCGGCATCAGAACCCGTTTTCAATTCTCATTCGTGTTAATCTTTTGTTTAAATTAATACGGTCGTTTCAAATCCGATTTTTTTATTTGTACGCTTTTGTCGAACAGGTCAAGTCGAGTGGTATTCGGCACTTCGAATAGGGTGCCCGATTCTTGTTTTTTTAACGTGAATTAATTTTGGAAGTTTTTCCAAAGCTGTTTAATTGGGTTTCACCAGTACAATAGATGTTTTTGTTCGGTTATACACGGGGTTAGTTATGTTAGGTTTTTTTGGCACTATTATCATACCGATTTTATCAGGGTCGTGTAATTTTGTTTTAATGAGGCTAAATTAAGTTCAGCGGAATGTCTGGTCCCTTAAAATAATATAAGTTAATATAAAAATAAGAAGGTACAATACTATTCTCGAACAAAGCACAATATTTTCTTTATAAGGTCCAATTTAACCACAAATATTTGTTCTAACCCACGCTGGCAGCGAGACTAATCGGGTATATAGTTATGCGCTTCGATCCAATGTTCTTTCTCTTCTTAATGCACGTAACCAACATCACGTAGGGTCGGCGCAGCATTTCCTTTTTTCGTGCTATATTGGGATTTGGCATGTATTTCACAACTGGCTGCCTGTCTGACATCAATCTCTTTGGGTTTTATCTCCATACCTACATCTATTGCAGCATGCCGCAAGAAGGGTCTTTTGGTGTTTCTTTTACAACATCCGTTTTTTCTGTCTATGATTTGCATTTAATTTTCATAAACATTTACACTACAATTTAGATATAAAAATTGATAAACTTAGATAACAGTAGTAATGAGTATATCAGAGGAAGTGTGAAAGTATCCCCGGTTATGAAAAAATTAAAGAGCGGACGGTTAGCGTGGTATGGACATGTGATGCGTAGAAAGAAGATGCATGTGACTAGGAGATGTATGGAAATGGTACTGCAAGGTAGAGGGGGAAGAGGTCGACCGAAGAAGACATGGATGGAGTATGTGAATGACGATATGAAAGAGAGAGGAGCGAGTGTTGAGATGACGGCTGAAGGAAGAGAATGAAAGAGAAAAATTAGCTGTGCCAACCCCAACTAATGGGATAAGGTAGAGAAAAAAAAAGAAGAAGAAGATAAAAATATCACTATGGCGAACCTTGTTCCTTGGGCCATGAGGCCCGTGTTCATCAATGGATGTCTATGGTTTGATTTTAATGATGCTGATTAATGGCAAAACTTTAAAACCACTGTATAGTTTTTCAGTGAGATTATTTCACGGTCCGAATCTAAACGGTAAACGCCCGGTAAATGTATTCAGTAGGGGGCTCTCATTATATTCATTGTAGATTCGTGTCGGCAACGGAACGCCACCTAATTGTAAATACGGGAAAACTCATTTGGGCACTCGATGTCGACCCAAAACGGACGGCAGTCGAATTTTTAATTTCAACCAGCAACGCTCCTTTAAAATTTCAGGAATTTGAAACATTAATTGGAGAGAGCCCGATTGTGATCGAATTTGAAACTGAGACCCTACTGGTGAAAAGGATCGAAATAGAGATTTTAACTTGATTTGTTTTTTGTTACAAAGAAGGATTTAGCTGTACAGTACCTGTTTTACATATTTAAGTATTTATGGTAAGCTACTTGTAGGCAGAGCGTATATAACATACATAGGTAATAATATATACATAATTATATTTATCATTCGATCATGCTTTATAACAATATCAGCTTTAGCAATATGAGGATGTGTTTTAATTTATTGTATTAATTTAGCTCCTTACTTTAGTGATTTAGTAATTTTAATTTATTGTGACGTGAGACATTTTACTTATATCTAATCAAGATTCTAGATGACACTCGTATCTAAAGCTGCGACTTTGCCGGTACAAGTAGATACTATTTTTTTAGGAAAATGCGAATATGAGTTCGTGTAAAAAATAGAATGCTCAAAATTTATTTATAAATTTTAATAATTACTGCCAATATACCTATTTCTGTCGCGAACCAGTCATACATACATCGTGAAGAGTTGGAAAATCTTTGAACAATATGAAATTTCGATCTTATGTCTCAAGGCATATGATGGAATCTACCTTGTGATGTCTATAGGCTCCGGTTACTATTTAATACCAGGTGGGCCATGACCTCACCTACCTATCGAAGAAATAAAGTAAAAAACAGATTCAGAGCTCTGATTGTAGAAGGTTCATGAAAATCCCCAATTAAATGTACCCGTCTATGTATGAAAAAATAAACAAAGCAAATTAAGGTAATTGGTTTGGTAAATGTAATTGTCTTATTCCTTAAACGCTTTAGGGTTAACACAACAATAAAAAATCTTTCAATCTTAATTGTCTAAATCCGCCAGTTAATGCTGTATGAGGTTTGTTAGTCACGGTCAAAATATGACCTCACGCCATATGAGATTCCAAACTACTAGTAAACTCAGTAATTACGCTTGGTACCGTATTTTACTGAATAGAAATCCGCAAAATGTCCCTAATACACTGCCGTTTGTTCTAGTGACAGTGTACGAAGGTGAAATGCTGAATCTTCAACGCATAAGTCGCACGGAGATGGGCGCGTACCTCTGCATTGCTACCAACGCTGTGCCTCCGTCTGTCTCCAAAAGGATTATTGTGGTCGTTGAGTGTAAGTAATTATGATACTTTATATTTCGTCGTTTTGCGAATAGTTAGGTGGAAAGGTAAAATGTAAGTATCAAATTTATGCAAACTTCGATTTTGACTCCTCTATTTTTCAAGCTTTTCTTTTCCGTATTCTTATCAAACATATGTTTGTATTAAGAATAATTTACTGTGGAATTTTAAATGCTTTCTACTGCGCGTTTCTTTACTGGTGGTAGGACCTCTTGTGAGTCCGCGTGGGTAGGTACCACCACCCTGTCTATTTCTGCCGTGAAGCAGTAATGCGTTTCGGTTTGAAGGGTAGGGCGGCCGTTGTAACTATACTTGAGACCTTAGAACTTATATCTCAAGGTGGGTGGCGCATTTACGTTGTAGATGTATATAGGCTCCAGTGACCACTCAACACCAGATGGGCTGTGAGCTCGTCCCTTCATCTAAGCAATAAAAAAAAAATAGAATCATAGATTTTTCATTTTGGAATTTACCTCTAAATTTTTGTGTGTTCCTAAACTTCCCTAATAAAGAAGGGTGTCGGCGGAGCAGTTCGGCTTCCGGGAGGGCCGTTCGACCGTGGATGCAATTCTTCGCGTGCGGGCCCTCTCGGACGAGGCCGTCTCACGGGGTGGGGTGGCGCTGGCGGTGTCTCTTGACATCGCCAACGCATTTAACACCCTGCCCTGGTCTGTGATAGGGGGGGCACTGGAGAGGCATGGGGTGCCCCTCTACCTCCGTCGGCTGGTTGGCTCCTATTTGGAGGCCAGGTCGGTCGAATGTACCGGGTACGGTGGGACCCTTCACCGTTTTCCGGTCGTGCGTGGTGTNAACCTGGATTTTTTATAAGAATTTGAACGACATTTGAGCTGTCGTAAGACAACGCCTAATCTGTTGTGATTTGGAATAATTATTGCGTCTGCTATCGTAGCAAAAGTTGTTGTATATATTGTATATACTGCAACCTGTTCCTGCTAAGTGAGTAGTACTACCTAAATACTGCTATCTTTCACCAGTGACCGAATACTAATTCATTGATATCACATGTTGGTTCACATTAAGTCTCGGCTGCGGCTTTAGGAGATAACATTAAACATTAGACATTCAGCAAAGCGTGCTATCATGACATTTAAATTGAAATAAATTAAAATTTTATTACGTTTCTGCTGCAGACTCTTGAACAAGTAAAATAATTTGTGTAAGCTAGTCTGCTTTTTTAATCTTATTACATTCGAAAAATATATAGCATTTTATGTGAATTAGTTTCTTTACCCTATTCCTAAGGGGTCAAACTTCTCTACGACTACTGAAATAAACTAATGTAAAATTTGGAATGTTCAATTTGAGTTTTAATGTCGAGAGGTATAAATTATTACACTTATTTTAGGACTTTCTATTACACATTCTGAGAAGTAAATAATAATAATATGATTATCTATATCTATACGAGCTTTATTAATCTTGATCCGGGTCAACTGCGGTTCATTGAACCATAGAGCCTTTGTTCGGAAGATCAGCACCAATGTTTGATTAACCAAACACAGTTAGCTAAATTGAGCTGTTAATTTAATAATGTTTTATCGACTATTCAATTTCTGTCTACGCGGTTTGCTCGAGTGAGATCTCAGAGTGTGGTTTATAGAGATTTCGTTTTGTTCTTAGAACAATTATTGCATTCTTTTTAGCATAAATATAATTACCATCGATGTGTTGCTAGTAGGAAGCAGTGGTTACCAGTGATGAACAGATAGGCTGTGACTACTTATAAACTATGCTTCCACCAGACAGGAAATAAAACACAAACTGCAGTAGTTTACTTAAATCCGTACTGTATTCTTCGTAATTCCATTATTCAAATTTATAAAATTAGCACTCACTACAGAGTACCCCCTCTTTCTCGTTTGTCTCCCCTGACTTCCTTCTCCGCCACTCCCTTCTTCCCCACTGTGCCCATTTCCTCCGCTAGCCCCAACGTACCTCATCCCTACAACAGTCTTTGCTCCCACCAACAGTATTTCTACGTGGCAACTTGATAATTGTATTAATTGTAACTTTATCCATGTTATATTCTAATTATTTTACAATGCCGGACAAGCTAATGACTGACTACAAAATATAAAGCGTATCATCAACGAATACTATACAAATAAAGTGACCTTAAAAATAATACAACTATCTTGAAAATTTTACAAAATCCTTACGTTCTGTTGCTGTTACTGTTGCTCTTTAGTTTTGCTTTGGTGTGGTTTGGTATACTTGTTAATTAAATGTAATAGAAATCTCTTACTCGAGTCATAGAATACGTTATAAAATTGTTTTCGAATTATTTTTTAACTAAAAGTACGAACGTAGCTTTGTATCGTATATAGCAATACATTCTCCATGAAGTTCAGTTTTTACGAAAAAAAATACAAAGAAAATAATGTAAAAATAGTGTGACAGTGGTATTATTTATTTGGCCTCATTCAGCTCACGATTTTAAATAAGATTATTCATAAAAAACATACATACATTAGTACATGCAGTACATACGCAGTAAAGCGTTTCGGTTTGAAGGGTGGGGCAGCCGTTGTAAATATACTGAGACCTTAGAACTTATATCTCAATGTGGGTGGCGCATTTACGTTGTAGATGTCTATGGGCTCCAGTAATCTCTTAACATCAGGTGGACTGTGAGCTCGTCCACCCAACTAAGCAATAAATAAAAAAAAAATATTTTTATTAAATTAATCCTTTTTTTTATTTAAATTTTAATCAATTTGAAAAAAAATCGATTAAACAACATCCTCAAACACGCATATTGGACATCCCTTTTCTTGACATCGTATAAATTCGGTAATTCTCGGTACGGTTCGGAAAGTTCACCTGCGACTATATTCAGCCTCGCCAAGTTACGTCGGTCGTATTGTAATGAGCGATTTAGTGGGCAACTTCATTCTGTTAATTTTGTGTCACGGTGAGCGCGCATCGTAAAATTTCACTCTCATCAATTTTTCATCACGCGCCTAAAGAAGTATAACTTCAAAAAAAAATTGTCACAATGAAACAAAATACTTTTTTTTTTTTAATCTCTAATTTCCTGTTCGTCAAACCGGTACAAATTTACAGTAAATATTTTCCCTTCTTAATTAAGAAATCAGGCAGGAAATACAGAAAAGGCGAAATAAAATTTATTATTTCGATTCTTTAGAAGATTTTCGTAAATGTTTCCTTGTGCGTTTTACTGTTTTAGTAAGTATTGATTAGCATAGTAGATGTTATTCGTTCTACTATACATTTGGTACTTTGAAATAAATATTATTAGTAGTAATTATTAGTACAAATCTCATATACCGATCTTACGAAAATTTATTAAAGACTCCGCTACATTAATATTATAAAAATATTATAGACATTGTTTCTTAAATTTGTAATGTCAAAGTATTTATTAACCCGACACATAGTTCCTATTTATTTGCTGAAATTAAGGATCAGTACCACCACGCTGCCTATTTCTGCCGTGAAGCAGTAATGCGTTTCGTCTTGAAAGGCGGAGCAGCCGTTGTAACTATACTGAGACCGGAAAACTCATATCTCAAGGTGGGTGACAGCATTTAAATTGTAGATGTTTATGGGCTCAAGTAAGTTCTTAGCACCAGGTGGGCTGTGAGCTCGTCCACCTATCTAAGCAATAAAAAAAATCAGATACAAAGTAGTCCTTTTCTTCGGACTGGAGCATAATCTCCTACCAGGTTCCTAAAGACGTGCCTCAGGCGCTACAGTTAGCGTAATGGAGTACTCCACTGAACCAGCATCAGCATGCAGGGTCGGCAGCGCGACACACCAACACTCGGTTGCTATCCACAGCAGTTATGAAACTGTTTTGCTGTCGTGCAGCTCGCTAGAGTGTACAAAGCAGCTCTGCATGCCATTACCGACATTGACCACCATTATGTCTTAATACGGGTGGCTACATGTATGAGACTTAGGCAAAATGATGTTACATGTCGACGCGAGTCAACATACGCTAGCGTTCATGAATCAAACCTATCTTGATACTCTTTATCCAAAAAAACATGTTTATGACGAAGGGAAATGTTTTCAATTTTACAATACCAGTGTTACCGTTCGCAGCTGACTAAATAAATGGCTATGTCCACGGTAATTGAAAGATAATATTTTTCCGCAGGGCTGCACCCTCCGAAGATTTCCATTGCAGACAATCAACGTTATCTAAAGGAAACTTGCTATGTTTACGTAAAACCGGAGATTTTGTTGAAATATACATCTAATATTTTACTATTTTAAACCCAGTATTATTTTTGTAAAATGTATGTAAATCAAAAATGAAATTATGTTTCATTTTCCCCTAAAAAATTTGCGGATAGCTTTGAAACAATATGTTTTAATTGTAACCGCCATCAAAAAAGGAGGATGTTCTCAAAAACCTTCTTTTCTTCTCAAGAACTTTTTTGTGTAGCTCAGAATTTTTTTCTATGAGAAAATATTTTGATATTATTTGAAAGCTGGTGCTTCTCACGTAGTTCTGTTTAAGTTTGTTTTATCAAGATTTTTTTAGTACCCGTAGTTTTTGAGTAGTTTAGAATAATAACTAGGAACAAATCACGCACGGCCATCCGATCCCAAATTAGAATTCCCTGTGTTTTGTGTAACAGAGACTGACATACATACTTATATACGTTTAAATATAGACATACATATATAGATAATAAAAATCTAGACAAATAGCAAACAAATCTGTTCATCTCACGAATCTGTTCATCACCCGATTTATTTTTTTTGGTCTGGCGATTTCCTCCCTCCCTGGGGATAGAGGGCGGGGCATGTCGGAGGCGAACTATCTAAAACCTCCTGTCCCTCAACAACCCGCGTCCGAACCTCGCATGAGACAGAACTCATGAAAAGGCAAAGAGGGGTTCATCACCCGATGTGCGATTCGAACCCACGACGCTCGGCGCCACAATCGGGGGGGCTACTTACGTTATCACCGAGTCAGCAGGCGTCATTTACTTGAATTGGGCAGCCACTCAGGATCGTACACTTGAGTGCTTGTCGATTCAAAAATAATCAGTCACAATCACAATCACAAAAACTTGATGGTAGAAGATTGACCGTTTATTAGTTTCTCTCCAAGTGGTGCTGCAACATATTTCTAGTGATTTGCTAAATAATATTTGTCCACCTGATGACTCTGCTACTCCGACGATCTATTAAAGTTCTGTCTTCATCGACTAGTGATAGCTTCGATTACCGCTCATCACCAAACCATCGAATGATTTTAAAGAGGACGGATACGTCTTAAGCTTCCTCAGACACACAGCTTCCCGATCTTCAATCAAATTTAGTGCCATAAAATTTACATATACGACCGTTTCATTGTAATAGATATAATACTAATTTTAAATTATTCACACGTCCCGCACGGTTGATAAATTATAAACGAGTGATTCTAAGTTCAATTTACGACGCGAACGCTTTATCTCCTGCTCCATAATGAAGTCGCGCGAACATAAAAATTCCAACTTTATATAAATATTTTAAAAAGTCATAGAATATTAAAACGTATCGCGCACTGTTGAAGTAATATTCCTTGTGAAAATTGCCATCATAAACTCTCAGAAATTTGAATTACGTTCTTGGGTGTGGATTTTATTATCGTCGTTGCGTGAAAAATCGTCGGAGATGCTCGGATGAGCTCGGGGAAGTTCGGCTCGATCCATCATCATACGAAGTTTATAAATTGGTCGTTCGTTTCCCTGGGTCGCTCTTATGATTGATAAGATACAGTAATATTAATAGATTTGCTTTTCAATATTACGCGAACAAAAATCGTATTAGCCAAAATTAAATAAACCTTGTCTAGCTACAAGGTATATTTTGTAATTCAAGAGTTTAGTAGAAATGTTCCAAGGGTAGTAGGTACTAGTCCCGAGTAATTATTCACGATCAATCTGTAAATCCTTTTTGCGTAACCAGTTTATCCTGTAAATTTCGCGCTCAATCTCCGTGTGTTCAAAGGTAATTTGCTACATCTTATCCGACTCTGAAATTGAAACCCTGTCGCGGTGTCTTCTAAACGTGATGACATAGCCACCGTCTAACGATATTTAAAAGGAGTCCTTGACGACAAACAGCGACTCAGCTATACTCCTGGCATTTCTGAGCTCCAAGCTATGATAAAGACTTATCGTCGGCAGGTCCGTATACCTATTCTAGAAATAATAAATAATGTATCCACTTCATAAATTGCCCACAAAAACTATTAGTAGAGAAATACTAATTTAAAGTGAACAATTTATACACACTCGCCGAGGGGCATGTTCCAAGTAAATTATTACATTTCTACCCATTTTGTGATCTGAGTTACATGACATAATAAAACTCATCATGTACTTAAATTACTTTTCAAATTACTTAATATCGTTCTAGGAAACTGAATCCGTTGTTACGTATTCTTGCAGCTTAAGGCAGTGGCCGCATCGTTATGACTATTCTACTTCGACATGACGGGCTTAGATAGCTTTGATCTATGCGGCTCTTACAAATAACTTTCATCTATCAACAAACGGGCCTTTCCTCACTCCAGATCATTCCATTCGAAAATCCTTAAAAAGATCTAATATCTAATAGTAATGGATGCGTCATTTGAAGAAATTGAATATTTTTTATTAATGAACTTCCAAATTCATATTAATACCTGCATTGATTCCTCCTCCATTGATACCGGCATCTCGTTTTTACCATCGCACCGCCCGCCACCGGAGTAGAGTTCATCCATACTACCTGGAGCCACTGCGTTCATCCACAGTGCGCTTCCAGAGAACATTTTTGCAAACGAGGCTTATGGAGAGTACTTAACGGTAGGCAGTGGCTTGGCTCTCCTCCTGGCATTGCTGAAGTCCATGGGCGACGGTAACCACTTACCATCAGGTAGGCCGTACGCTCGTCTGCCTACAAAGGCAATAAAAAAATAATCTTGCATTCGTTTCCACGTTAAAAGCAAGATCAATTGACTTCGAATCGTTCTTCATCAGTAATTTGCGATTGCGATTGACGATTTTCATCTATCACTAAGAGGAAGCCTCATTATTTTGCTGAATCTTGATATTGACTTACATAAAAAAACCCTAGATTATTCCAAATACTATTTCTGCCGTATCGCATCGATTCCAGTAAATGGTCTCAATTTTAAAAGAGTTGAACGCTCGATTAATATTGGTAGCTTTACTGATATTCTCCGACAAAATATAAGTTTGAGTTTTCGATATTTATCTTATAAATCTTTCTTTCTTTGAATTTTTCTTGTTTATTTTTAGTGTGCTATTTTTCTTTTCATCTCATTTAGCTTAAAGAAATTTAAAAGGATATTTTAGATATCGAATTTCGATATTTTAATTGACGTACCGCCATCGAAAATAGAATCACTTGGTAAAGAAATCTAAATACCTACTTTCAAATTTTATTTCGTACTTAACATAAAAATTGTTTAAAATTAAATTAATATTAGGACTAAATTAAAAATATTCAGATATGTTCACTCATCCGAATAACAATGTATGTAAATGTATTGACTAAATTATAATTGAATCTAATTATTTTTCAATTGTAATTATTTATTGTTGATGCCGTATTGAATCCTAGGAATCGCTTTTATCTGTCAACTGAAAAATAAGCCCGTAGTATAGTTGTATAAAAATATTTTATGTCAGAAGAATATATTATTAGAAATGAGTTAACATGAGGATTTTTTATTTCTTCCATAAACTGAAAACCGAGCTCTCAACCTACTTATATGTACTTTCTAATACGTTCTTTCGTACTCTTCTTCTTCTTTTTTCTCCACGTTATCTCACTAGGTGGGGTCGGCACAGCGAATTATTCTATTTCATTGTCTTCTATCAGCCGTCACTTCAACACTCACTCCTCTCTCTCATATCGTCACACAACCCATCTATGTCTTCTTCGGTCGACCTCATCCCCCTCTACCTTGCACTACCTTTTCCATACATCTCCTTATCACATGCATCTTCTCTCTACGCATCACATGTCCATACCACGCTAACCGTCCGCTCTTTGTTAATACTTTCACACTTCCTCTGATATACTCATTTATTCATACGTTCTTTCGTACATAAACAGTAATGCCAGTTGTTCATGATCTTAAAACTTTAAATTATTTAAATGTATTTTTTTTTTGTTTATTGACAATTTTTGTTCCAGTCTCACCCATGATCTGGGTACCGAATCAACTAGTGGGTGCTCCGGCTGGCACCGACGTCACGGTTGACTGCCATACGGAGGCCCACCCCCGCGCCATCTCCTACTGGGTCTATGATAACGTAATGGTGCTGCCGACCAAGAAATACGCGATCAATACTGAAGAAAATTCGTACAGGTAAATTAAAAATTAATTTTATTAAATAATTAAATACTATTACGCGCTGGGATGCGGGATAGATAAAAATTCTACCGAAGTACAAATTGTAATTGTATTAACACTTAAAACACTTCACGAATAATTTAAAATTCTCAATTAACTTATTCCGCTTCACTTCGGGTGATCCGTTCGCTGTTTCGCTTCAAGTAGATCCGATGACTGACTCGTGCCATCTCTGCAACGCTTTTATAGTCGATACAACATCTCTAGACTTATCGAGAACATTTTGGGCAAGTCGAGTAGCTTCGATATGTGTTTCCGCTATCTGACAATAGATGGCGCTGCACTTCTCGAGCGTTCTCGATATCACTAGTCCCTTTGATATTCGTTTCTCCTATTCAGCGATAGATGACGTTACTCTTAGCGACTTAACAATAATTATATATTGTAAGTTACCATAATTTGTTTATGTGAATATATTCGTAGATAATTTTGTGTGGATATTCGTTTTGTGTATGTAAGCTAAATTTACTTAGTATGACTTTCTCTGCATTACCTTTGGTTGAGTATATTTTGGGTTTCAAATCCACTAAAGCATAAATTAAAAATAGCGGCATTACATTAATAACGATTATTGCTGGCAGAGCGTGTTGAGTCCACGCTGTACGATTTATTTACCCGGAGCCCTGATGTATTTCCATTACTAAAGTTTAAGTTAACTCATCTTGTTCTTCTTTTTCTTAGTACCCTATCTCTTAGTTAGGAAAGAGGATTACACTATTAGTGAAGACATATGTTTGTACCCGTGACTGGAAGAAGCTGAGCACAAATACTTTATCGTATCGACTCCAGCCAGTTTTAAGTGCAGGATTCGATGTCAGTGTTTTCCAGTACCCGATTAATGCCTTATTATTCCCAATTTTATTATAACCCATCAATGGACGTATATTATACTACGTTACTTAACAAGAAACACGAAGCGAAAGCTCGCGAAGCATTTTTTTTAAACCTGTGTACGATTTAATCAAAAATTACTTAGAAATCAATAGACCAAAATGTCAGTTATTGTTCAACAATAGTGCTTTGTAGTGCCCCACGAAATTTTTATAGTAAATATCGTATCGAATAGGATTAATTGTATCGACGCTTCCCGACACTATGATCAAGTAATCCGTGAAGGATCGCACAATCTGATCCTTTCAAACGGAAATTAATTAAACTTAAATTTTGATCTTATTGTCTTGAAAAGCTATTAATTTGCTATACCCTTCCGGTCTGGTATGAAGAATGTGTTATTTGAATAATACATACCTAATAATCATGAGATACCATGCATATTTTGTTATTTTTAATTTTCGTTAGCAAAATGCTTTACTATCGCTTGTTACCATTGTTAATGTTAGGGGCATTGTAAAACTCCTCCCTCGTAAAAAAATTCTTGGCTGCAATAGACGAAGACCTTATACTAATATTAAGCCTGTTTTAGTCAGTTTAATTTTAAAATAGTTGTGTACGTAAGCAGCTACAACGTCTTATAATTTTGAAATTTCTCCCGGCTTGGGAGTGAGGTTAGGTGAGTTATACGGCTTTTTTCCGTAAGCTTAAATCACCGCAAGACTCATCTGTAATCAGTATTTCACACTATTATAAATATTATGAACTGTTTTTATATAATTATAAAGGCTTTCTGTTTCAATGTTTTTTTCTATTTATTACCAATGAAAAATAAAAGAAGTGACGGTTGAAAGTGGTTGTTGTCCCTTGGGTAGTGTACAGATATTTTACATTAATTGTTTGAACAAGCCATGTCGGTGTCTGTTTGAACGTGGCAATTCATATTTATTTTGAATAAACTACCATTAATAAAGAAGCTGATGGTTCGGCGATAAAACAGAGGTCCTTTTTACTTATAAGTAAGAAAAAATATCTTATCTCGACATATTTGGAAAAGGCGTAAAATATGTTCTTATGTAAATATGAACAAATATAAATGATAAATTTTAAACATTAGACGATCGCTAGTTAGTTTCTTTTATTAATCCGACTTGGAATCTCGTCCATATCTTTTTTAAAGTGGTCACTAACCAATCCACTTCAAGCACGAAAGTCTAGCTAGATTTCAGCTAAATTAGATAAAAAATATACAATATGAAACTCTCCAAACATTGCCTATATCAATAAACGTAATCAAGCAAATATGGAAGTTTCCCTTTGCTACATAAATATCAAACCAGTAAACAACAAACAGTCAATTGTTCGCTGAGCGCGTTGAGGTAAATCAGCGTCAAGTGATCCCTTTTATAGAACACTGTATAGAACTGATACAGTAGTGCAACTTTTATTGCTATTGTATTGAAGATTGATTTAAAAGGCTTGAATATTGTAGAAGATTCCTTAACCAGCATCGATGTCTTTAAATTTAGATTATAAAAACTGATAAAGTTGATATTATGTCATCCCTTAGTCTGTATTGTCAAGAACAAATTTATAACCTTAAACTTAGGACTTTCCCATAGATTGCTGAAGTATTAAATTTACACTTTAATGTAATCACTAAAGTTCTTAATGTCGTTTATAAGAATATGTTACTAACGGCTCATAAATATATATCTTGTTAATTACAGTAACCTACATTGGCCGGGATCAGTGAATCGTATGTTCTGGCTTAGGATTAAGCAAGGCAGGTTGAATTTGGCTATCATAATGCATCATCCACAAGAGCCTCCGAGCCTGACTAGAACTAGATCTAACAAGAAATATTATTTTAACTTTCTTTACTGTCCTTTTATATACAGTAACACGCCCTCTCAGTTCCATCCGATTAGTCCCAATCGTCGGTCCTCTGTAATTGATGAACCGAAATTATCGTCCAACTGCCGATCTTGGGTACGTTATTAATAGATTAGGAAAATAAACGTTCTATCACGATTCTAGTGCGGGAAATTGGTTTATTAGAAAATTTACATTTAGTGAAATACTTTTAGAATATTATTATTGTTTTAATTATTAGGTATTGTCGATGTTACATGCAATTACAAGTGCAAGCATATACTTTTATTGTAAGTATGTTTTATGCAAAAAATGCCGTGGAAGCATATAAGTCCATACTTTTATCGCAAGTATGGTTTGTGCAAAAAATGCCACGAGAAAGCATAGCTAAAAAGATTGGGTAAATCCAGGGCTGCGAGTAGAATTTAAAAATGAATTTGGACAGAAGACCTCACACGGTCAGAGTGTATCTGGAATAAACAGATATGCAGCCGGAGTTTTCTCGAACTTCAGCCATTTTTTCATCATCGATCTTAATAGCATTGTAATATAAAAATGATTTTAAATGTCTTAGATTTGAGAAAAGTCATACAAATTAGATAGACAAATTACACAAAGACACATTTACAGATTAATTTGAATAGCAACTGTCATAATGTTTCCCAAGACTATTGCGAGTATATTTTCTAATGATCTATATGTTATAATCTGGTAGTCATAATATTGTACAAAGTTAAAATGTACTGTGCCGGGTATTTCAGACAGATGTAATAATAATAAATAAATAAAATTAAATAAGAATTTCGGTATTGTAAACTGAAATTGTCATGTTTTGCCGCTTGAAGGATCAGGCAGTCGTGTATAACGCTGTGGAGCATATGGGTCCAGGTAAACGCTTAATCGCCTCAACTGTGAAGTCTGTCTGATAAAAAACCATTGACGTATTATCCCCAGGGCCCACATGAAGCTAACAGTGCGGAGTCTGCAGCTCGGCGATTTTGGCAACTACAGGTGTATATCGAAGAACTCATTAGGAGAGACTGAAGGTTCTATAAGGCTCTACGGTAAGTGTATATTAATAGATCTAAAATCAATAGTTGTACTTGCTTATCTATTTCTGCTCTGCAAGGAGCGTGTTATGTGTCCATTCATTCTACTCAATCGAATAGGGGGCGTGTGGACCACTCCCGAATTAGGACTCAAGTGACAGTTACTAAGAAAAGTTACTTATATAAAAGATCAACACGCTCGTAAAATTGTATTATTTACTGCACTACATGTAAGACGGAGTTGAATGACCGCTCGGGGCGCCTGTCACCTAAGCTTCATGTTGACGGCCTTAAAGAATTTCAACTTATCAAAACGACAACTAATTTAACTTTTGTGGTAAAAAAAAACAATTTGTGTTAACTTTAATTGTTTTCTTGTTTTTGTAATTTTTTTGGTTTTGTAATATATATATTTGTTTCTATGAAACAGGTCTACAGAAGTTACAGGCCTATATGATGTTAACTGGTAACCGAAGGTCGTTTAAATCACAACGTGAATGCAAACAATCATAATGAGATCAAAGCATCAATGAAAGCAACAATGAAAAAAACTGATTATTTTCTAAAGCAGTGTAAAATTTAAAATATTAACTTTTGAGATATAGATCTTAGAGTTAATTAGCAATTGAAAATTACTGGAATTATTATAAAATGGATGTAGGTAAGCCTCAAAACTACGTGTATATGAAAAAACGTATTTGACAAAATATGCGACATGTGCCCTTTTCGAAATTGCATATTCAATTATAGAAAAGCTCTTCTACCGTACGAGCTGGAACAAATGAACAGGATGCCAAAATTAATCCTAAGTTATGTCTTTCGACGTGTGACTACGTTCATGTTATACTCACAATATAAATCTTCTTTAGTGGTAACACTCAACGCCCCGTAGGTCCTGAAATTGTTATTAGACAAACGCGGGTACTTTCACTTATTCCGTAGAAATCCAAACGAATTTAATTGTAACATAAATTACAAGCATACTTCAAAGTTTAAACATAAAAAAAAGACGTGTGGCGCTCGGGGACTGCCGAGGTAAAGCTATTGCAAAGCATTTTTTATCAACTTATGCAATTACAATTAGACAATAATAATTAAATATTAAAAAAATAATAAAAATTAGACCACACTATATTTATAAACATTAACAAAAGCAAAACGTTAACTGTACCCTTCACACTTATAAGCTAGACCGCGTGAGAGAGAGATGGGCAGACTTTTCATGATGCTCATGCAGTGCGACGTCACGCCGCGCGCTTATTCACAAACACTACACCAGCGCAACGTGTGAATGTGCTGAACGTGAGCTACATAGTAGGCGTAGTGGGGGTGTCAGGTTATTTTCGTAACGAAATTTCTTGATTCAGTCGCCGCGCTCAAGGCCCGCGATAGAAGCTATGCAATAGCTTAAAATTAAGTAGAGTTTTTATTGGTTAAAAACTAAAGTTAACTAACTACACGCTTTGTCTCGGTATAAATTGGTCGGATCTGGAGGGAATAACAAGTACCGATTCCTCGGGCTCGCTCCAGACAGTGTCAAATATTAACATTCAAGTCTAGAATTAGCCAATTATACCGGGCTACAGAAGTTCTTATGAAAATTCATTCGCTTAAGGTTTTCAGGGGTCTTAATGTAATATTTACAAAACAGTTTCAAGATTTACATCTCGGTTCTCTCTGAGACTAAATTGACTACTAAGAATGTGCATACAACGAAACTATGAAAATTGTAGTCTTTGATTCAGTGATTAAATAAATATAATAATTAGTATTAGTGAAAAATTAAATAAAACTATTTTCACTCAATTGTCGAAACTCAATCAATTTCACTGACATATTAAATTAAGGCTTGAATTCATTTTGTGTTTTACATTTTCTCGTTTGTTTTGTTATTACCATTTATAAAAAAAATGTTCTCTTTTTTCCATTAAAACTCACCAAGGGCTACTAATGTATTCAATAAAAACGTTTGACAAACGGAAGAGGAAATGCCACTTAACTGTTCTGTCTTTACCCATTAATGGAATAAAAAAAAAATATAGTAGGTATTTCTGTATAAAACTTAATTCGCTCCATTGCCGTTTCGTTATTGTTTACTTGCTTAAGAGTCTGGCATGGTCTCCTCCACAGCATTTCCCGAGCGCTATGGTATGTTATACTTTAAACAAGTCTTTGAAGTATTCAGTAGGAAACCCCACGGCTGTGTGTTGTCTATGCTACCACTGTTTGCACGCGTTAATTACCACTTTACCCGATGCTCGTTTTCCATACTCGACAATGAAACTGTATTAGTGGTAGGACCACTTGTGAGTCTGCACGGGTAGGTACCACCACCCCGACTATTTCTGCCGTGAAGCAGTAATGCGTTTCGGTTTGGGGTAGCCGTTTTAACTATACTGAGACCTTAGAACTTATATCTCAAGCTGGGTGGCGCATTTACATTGTAGATGTCTATGGGCTCCAGTAACTACTTAACACCAGGTGGGCTGTGAGCTCGTCCACACATCTAAGCAAAAAAAAATAAAATAAAAAAGGTCAATCTAAATTCCCTGATTGTTTCAGAAATTCCTATGCCATCCTCTTCACCAAAAGCCACAGAAATGAAGAGCAATGCCAACAAAGAAAGTGAGTACTAAATTTTATGTAATTCTGATTACAATATCCGAGCTTTACCACTCGAAATACCTTTAAAGGTGAAGCACGAGGGTGAGTGGCGGCCGTCGTTGTTTACCGCTGATTTCGACAATTCCATCTCATAACTCATTTGGATAGGCGGCCAAGCCTATAACCAGTAATTAAGCATATCTGTAATGTGCAATTTGATAGTACAAACCGATATTCCTAACCGTAATAATCGCTTGAGTCTACAAATTGAGCACTTCATTACTTAGGAGAAATGATACGAACTCCCTAAACTCCCTAATTATGCCATAATAGCAGGATCATATTACAGTTTAATGTAGCATAGAAAGACCACTAACTCTTCGCATACACTTTAGTACATAGTTCTTCGATTTCCCGTTAGTCAAGTTGTTAGTGATTCTGACTTTTGTACCACGGAATCTAAGCTCATTTTATTATCAAAGTCGGTAACTTTATTAAAAATATTTCCCTTTCAACATTGCGGTATATTTGTTATTACCTCGTATGTATATTTCTGAGAATCATTTTGCGAGAGACAACTCAATATTGGGATCGTTGGCGTAAGATGTGTAACGTTTATTGCTTGTTAATTTCATAAAAAAAATATTTATATAACATTTAATCTAACTTATTATCTATACTTAATATTATAAAGCTGAAGAGTTTGTTTGTTTGAACGCGCTAATCTCAGGAACTACTGGTCCGATTTGAAAAATTCTTTTAGTGTTGGATAGCCCATTTATCGAGGAAGGCTATAGGCTATATAACATCACGCTAAAACTAATAAGACCAATAGGACTAAGCGGAGCACCAATAAAGAATGTTTGAAAATCGAGGTATTTTTCCCTTTTGAGAGCTTACGGTATATGTAGATATACGCCAAAGTAACTATTCCACGCGGACGGAGTCGCGAGCAAAAACTAGTATTATTATATCGCTAACTATGCGGTGTCACACTTGCTAAACTTTGTAAACAATTAAATTTAACGGACGGTCGACAATAGGCAGCAGGTGCGCTCATTCAAACAAATTACATATTGAATCCTGTTATTAGCGCATGTGTTGATAATCGTACACGATTTATAAGGTCGACATTATAGTGTTTCAAATAAGCTAAGCTTGCACTAACTACATTCAATGGTAAAATTGTGACTTTTACTAATGTATCGCAAATTGAGTTGTATTACTTTAGCTTGTCGGGTATCCGGGAAGCACAGGCACTAGGCATATTTCGTTTTTCGGAAATAACCAAATCCTTACTATCTTTATTGAAAATTTTAAAAGTTTCGGTTGAAAGCGACTTATATCGAATGTATTCCTAATAATAAATGTTATGGATGGAGTTTCTTTAAAATTAAATGGACGGGAATGACATTAATATCTGTCTATTCCAAAACAATGGAGTATCTGATCGTCTGTCTCGCAGTGAGCTATGTCTATGGACTCCTAGCCGAAACGCTAAGTGTATCGTTTATCCAAATTCTTGGAGGAGCTTTTTCGCTTAGAAACCTACATTTAGTTTTAAATGTCTTCTGACTCTATTCCTGATGACGGTAAGGTGAGGTGACCCAAGTGTCACTGGTAGTTAGTGAAGGCGTGTTGCAGGTCCGCGGCGTGTAAACGCGAGCCGGTCGGTCCCCCGCGCGGACTCGAACACGGAGCGGCCGAGCGTGGTCCGCGCGCAGCTCGACCGCTCGCCGGAGCGCGACGCCGCCCAGCACGTGTACCGCCCGCCGCACACGCACCACGTCTCAGGTAACACATCCGTTAAAGGCGGCGTGTACGATTTCCTGCATTCAAATTGATTTACTTCTTTATTCGCCAGCCGATTTATGTTAAACATTAGCCCACTGAGTTTCTCGCCGGGTCTTCTCAGTCCCTTTAGTTACCGGCAGCCACGATGAGAGGGTTCTCGTGTCGTGCCGCTTTGTCGAAGTGGGTGGGTCCCCTTTCCGATCTGCTGGTAGACTCTGCGAAGCACTGCTCTTGCTAGAGCCAGTGCTAGCAACACTCCCGGTTTGAGCCCCGTGAGCTCACCTACACGTCAAGGCGAAGCTGAAATAGCCTCTCAAGGCTATCAGAATAGGTAGAATAAAATTATTAATCAAACGTAATTATTCGAACTTGATCACAATACATAAAAGAAAAACATTTATTAATAAACCAATTATGAATATTAATTGATCTACATGAACGGAAAAATCAATTATTCAGACTCTTATCGATTTGACGATTTAAAACGCTTTTATTACGCCAGATCAACACAGGACCGCGGCTGTTCGTAACGTGTGGTTTAATTTGTTTTTAGATAAAATTAGTATTTCAAATGATATGTTATGTCAGATTCTACTTTTTGAAAAATCCAATTTATTTTCTTAGCACTGGCACTGAAGCATACTCATACACTAACAGAATACCATGCGTTGCTCCAAATAAATCTAAATATATTTTGGTTTGAAATCAAAATCAGACGCTATTCGAGAATTTAGTTCCGTCAGTCCTTTGATTTGTAGATCAAGACAAACATAGAAATTTTATATTGTTTTTAAACTTTCTACCATTTCGTTTCATACATTCTTATGGAACAGGATATAGTCATAATTGAGCCCCGAGCTAATAATGCATTCTCCTTCCATGAAGCTAGATCACAAACGCAATTATACGTAGAATTCACCGCCGTAACCGAATTACCGTCCCTCAAACAGCCATATTTTAATACGCAAAGCCTTTAATATAAGAAGCCACAAAGCATCAAACCTAGGGAGGCTCTACTTACCTCTTTGTGTTCTTTGTAACATTATACTGCATTATTAAAACGTCTTACCTCTCTCCTGGTAAAAAATAAATGTGTCCCGTGAAGTCTGAGGGAAATGGTTAGAAGGGAATACGTAACGTTCTCGGATGTGGCAATTGTTAAGATGAGTCGAAGCGCTCAGCTCACCTTGAGACTTTTATCTTTCAAATAATATTCTTGCAGGTACAGGTTAGCGTTGGTAAGAATCTTTTCTGTGAAAAATTGTATTATTAGCGAAAATAATCCAAGTTCTATTGAACAGTTCACTTTACTGATATTCTGATTGATTTTTTTTTGTTTAGTGAACTTTGGAGAGATATTTGAAATTCAGCTTAAATTATTGACGCACTGCTTATTTTATAAATAAATCTAGTAGAGCAAGAGATTTTTTTTCTTATTTGCACGAGCTCACGGTCCACCTGATGCTAAGTGGTTACTTGAGCCCATAGACATCTACAAAGCAAATGCCGCCACTTACCTTGAGGCATGCATTCTAAGGTCTTAGTTTTTACAGTACAACCGCTGCCCTACCCTTCAAACCGAAACGTATTACTGCTTCACGACAGAAATAGGCAGGGTGCTGGTACCTACCCGTGCTGACTCACGAGACGTCCTACCACCAGTAACTATGCACATTATAATTTTGAGAGTTTGATTTTATTACACGATGTTATTCCTTCACCGTGGAAGTCAATCGTGAACATTTATTAAGTACATATTTCATCCAAAAAATTGGTACCCGTCAGCGGGATTCGAACACCGTTGCATCGCTACATACAAATGCACCGGGCGTCTTATCCTGTAGGTCACGATGACTTCAAAAATGGCTTAAAAAACACAATTGAAATGTTTATTTTCCTGCCTTAACATCTTATCCCAAATTCTTACCGGCACACAACCACAAGAAGCTTCCAATCAATCTTCGGCTGTTCGTAAAGTTTAAACAAAACTCTGTCGGTTCAGAGTTGTTACCTATTCAAAGATAACAAAGCTATACACAAGAAAGACGATCGCGAAATCCACCGCTCGGGTCTCCCTCCCCCGGTGCGGTGGCTTCCACCAAATAGAGATTAAACATTCAAAGAGTTCGCATACACACTTAACCCTAATAAATATTCAACGCGGACCGCGTACAATCAATTCTTGCAGGTCTGCGCCTCACTGGAAAAACTGTTTGAGGAACCCATATAATATCATATCAAATAGAGATGCGTAACATTTGAATAAATATAAGGGGGTATGAATTTGGATAAAGCTTGAACTACATAGTTTTTGGGGGTATGGTTATGTGAGGTGGAATAATGTGGAGAAATTAGTCGGGTAAGTTTGATAGAATCATTCAATATTTAATACAGCCTGTGGCTACTGGGTTGTTTCAATATATTAATCTCATATATCAATATAAATCTACTCCTGGAGTTAATACGGGTCTTATAATTCTCTGACACTTCCTAAGGAACGTACGGTAGAAAAAACAGAGAAATCCGAAGTCCCTCCGCAGATACAAAAGTATTACTTGGGACGTCTTGAGTAGGTAAAGCAGTTTGCAATCCAGATTTAGACCTTCTGTCAATAAAACGAATAGCTACATCCGTTTTGTGATCTCAATCAGCTCCGACAATCAAATAAACGAATTGCAATTTAAAAAAATCGATAGTACACGTATTGTTTTATGTTCTTTCACTGATTTTTTTACTATATTTGTTTATTTTGTCATATCAATAACTCCCTTAAAATTTATACAGCAACCCTAACCGGTTTGTTTGAATACAATAAACAACACACTAATCTGTGAATCAAATATTCGGGAACCGTATTTGTATTGGGTATTGAGAATCGCATGCAAATAGAAACACATCATCGATATAAACAAAACAAATCCCAGCTTTGTTTGCGGAGGCGTCGAATCTTCGTATAAGCTTTAGAAGCGCTCTTATCGCGCACTAGAATTCAAACGAAATAGCTATGCTTTTACGAACCACATAAGGGTGAAGCCACGTTTGGAGACACCAATAATTTTTTCACAACTTCAAAACTTATTGCAATTTGCTACTATGGTTTAGATTATACTTTTTAATTATTATTTATCTATCTTAGTTTTCTATAGATTCACTTTTTCAATATTTACTAATAAATAACTAGATAATGTCCGGAAATTCCACAAAACCATAATAAAGAGATGATTTCTGAATCTGAAATGGAATGAGTCGTAGAATGGCCCGCGGATCAATTCAGTGTATATTCAACTTTACTGAATGAAAGAAGCAGTCGAGTGGCAACGATAATTTGGCGTTTACCTGAATACAGCTCAATAGTTCCGTCGGTATTACTATGTGATAAAAAAAGCGGTTAAAATAATATTAAAAACAATATTTACTATTATTTTCTACAGAATATACTGAAAAATTCGAAATAAATAATCATAATATTTTTGGGGTTAAATAGAATTTCTAAATATTCCGCTCAGATGGAATTATATATAGATGATGACTAAATATATCTAATAAAGCAGGTTTTATTAAGATTTTTAGCAACCGTTAGTTAAGTAGACACTAAAATGTCTACAAATACGCATGAAGATATCAGATTAAAAAGGCAGCCAGCAGCCTCATATTCACTCTGCACTCAATAATTTTTCAATGGGAATATCTACAGTAACAGCAAATGTATGTGGACATTTTTGTCACACGTACCGTACCGTACCGTAGTGTTTGTGCGACCCCTTGATCTCAAAGCGGAAGCACGTTACAATGTTCCATTAAAATCAATTTCAGTATTTCATTATTCTGTTTTATTAACTGAACGCTGAAGGTTTTTATTGAAGTATTTCCATTACAGACACTTATCTCCTCCTCTCCTATTACAGTTACGAGAGTTTTTATCGGCGCTCTCAGGTACTTTACCAAGATATTTGAATCAATATCGGGTAACATTATCTTTATTTTATTACAGTTACTTTTACTTCAAATTTAATTTTATTCGTAGAGTCAACCAACTGAACTCCATATCATCCTGTGCCTTCATTGGCGTCTATGAAGTCACAGATTTATTGATTCGCATTGTTTGACGATTAGCCGGATTGGTTATTACCACATTAGATCCTGTCTGCTCATCGAGGATAAAAACTGACCATTGAAATTGGTCTCTCACAGCTACATCGTTAGCTACTAAGGCATTACTGATGGTAGGACGTCTTGTAAGTCCGCACGGGTAGGTACCACCAACCCGCCTATTTCAGCGGTCAGGGTGAGGCAGCCATTTTAAGTATACTGAGACCTTAGAACTCGTATCTAAAGGTGGGTGGCGGCATTTACGTTGTAGATGTATATGGGCTCCGGTACTTAACACCAGTTGGGCCGTGATCTCCTCCACCAATCTAAGAAATAAAAAACAAAAAAAAATGATACTTGTCATAATTCTATTTTATCCTTGTTACAGGAACGAAAGCAGTCCATTGTTGGAGACCTTCAGTATTAGCTTTTTTTGTCTTATTTCAAATGGATTTTGTAGCCGATTTTTTTTGAAAAAGTGTTTTTCATATTTTTTTTGTATCAATAATTGTTAACACCATCATTGTTGTTTTCTACGTGTTTTTACATATAACATCTTTTAGCATTTCGATGTGAGAAATATATGTCCTGAAAAATATTAAACATATTTAAATCGTTTAGCTAAATAGCACTTTCTACGTGCAACAAAAAATTCATTTCAATTTAATGTAATTTTTATGAAAACTTTATTTTAAAAGTAAAAAAATAATTATTAAAATTTTCCGAAAAATATAATTATAGCAAGATATTTACTGTAACTTTTTTTTATTAAGATAATATTTAAAATATATTCTTTATTTGTTAAAGTTATCGACTTCAGAGAAATTAATATACATAATTATTTGTATACCTTAGGTTAGCTACAGAAAAAAACTTACAGAATTTCATAGATTCCGACAAATAATCATAACATTCAGAGACTCCACTCTTATCTGTGTGAATACGATCAAAATAAAATAATATTAAACTAAAAAGAACCATTTTATATAATAAAACTATCAAAAAAACATATCATCCTAAAAATATATGTCATATCCTAGGCGAAAATATAGAGTGAGAAGAAAATATATTTGTAAGAAATCAAGAATGTCTTTTTCCAAATACAAATGTTAATTATTCTAAGACAAGACAAAACTATGAAACAAGGATAATCTATTACAAATTTATACTTTTTTAATCTACAAACACGCTCTTAGAACTCTATTAATAATTTTCTCTACTAACTTTACATCGACTACGCCATGGCTTAAGTTTTAAATATTATAAGGTATGTGAACCCAAAATGTATGCTTGGTATCATATTTATACTAGCTTCAAAACAACGAATGAATCGATAATGCACTCGTGTACGTGACGTCACATATATATTATAAACAATTAGTTAATTTGTATTGTTAATAGCACGAACATGCTTTTAGTACTTGATTGTCTACTATATATAGTTCGGCATATTTTTTTACAAGTATTTTGTAATGTCGAGGCAAATATATTTTTGTTTGTTGTTTCATACTTGGCGATCCATTGTTAATTGCATTTAAAAGTTTTAGTATACCAAGTACACTTAAAAACGCAAAATTTAACCTAAATTACTTCCGTAAACCTCAAGGCAAAAATATCTCAACACTTGTGGCATGTGTTTTCCAGATATTGGAGGTAGATAATTTTTCGAGGTTTTCGCGTTGCCGAATAGCATTATTATATTGTTATGTTGAGAATCAGAATTAATTAATTGCACGTGAACATCAACTGTTTAACACATGCACCAAGCAAGAGGAACCTCTGTGTTCACGTCCTTCAAAATAGTAATGGGTGATGGGATTGAAAAATGATTTCTTGTAGTGTTTAGGTATTGCAAGTTCTTTAGAAGAGCGCCTTATGTTTTAAGTAATTTCGTTTTGAAATAGAACAAATAATTGGATATTACAAACGGATCCCATTAAATTTCAATCATTTGTATATCCCCCGTTAATAAGTTGCATAAGTATAATAATTATGTACGTTGTCATGCGGACTTATATCGTCTGCGATAGTTTTGCACTAATTATTCATAAACCTCATTACACCCGCTCGTCTCTAATTTAAATCCAGCTTCATATTCACGTCTCTATGTGCATTTACCTTTCTACTTACTACTACTATACGTTTCAAGCTCGGCTTTGCCTGTTGAGCTAATTCCATGTCGTGTGCCAAATTTAATGTTAATTTTAAGAGAGTTGATTTTTATATTATTGTTACGTTCTAAGATGCAGTGGCGTTAGTATATTGGTCCTAAATCAAACAAACAATATTATAAAACAAGCTTGCTCCTCACGCTTGCTAAGATTTGTAAATATTAAAAGAATAATTATTAATTATTGCACATTGAAAATATTATAATATTTAACATCTAACTACAAATGATTAATTACGTGTTAAATAGATGTATTAATGTTGATAAATAATGTATCTTTTATTTGATAAGAGATGTGTCTATCATTATTATATTAGTTTAATTATACCTTGAATGTACAGAATCGTGTGATTTTAATGATGTACATACATACCGATACAATAATAAATTAGTATAAAATAAAACACAAACTTAGTTTTATTTTTTGTTTCTGGGTAATAAAATTAAAACGCCGTATTGATATTTTTCAGAATACGGTAAGTGGTTAGTTTTAACAAATAAAAAAGAATAGCAAGTTGAATAATAAGCTCACGAAACCATTTAATAATAATTAAAAGGTATTGATTCGTGTAAAGTGATATAAATCATTCCATAACATTACAATCTATATGAGTGTGGCTCAGTAGGCATGGTATACGTCACATTTTAAAAGTACCAGGATCAAGATACATACATGGTGGATACTAAATTTGCGATTTCGCTTAGTGCTAACATTATTTACGATATCGACGTTTGATGCATTCAAATAGTTAACAACTATAAACTAAGAAATAAAAGATCTTCCTTTTTTGTACTTTAGTCTATAAAAAGGCAGATGGAGTTTTTGCTTCAACATATTGGTTCTGCAAACAAAACAACAATGTTGTGTTCATCTAAAGGATTTGTTGTTATTGTTGCGTGTCGACTCAGCAAGCATACAATTAAATTTAGATTATTTTTATACAAGATACTAAGCCGATGAGATACAAAAAGTTATTTAATAAAATATATTTTAATGAAATGTTAAACCACAAAATTAATTGCCAACAATGTAATCTAAAGACCGAAAGCTATTCTCATAAAACGTACCTAAAGAAATACAATTGAAAACCAAGGGTCTAGAGGACAATCTTATCGCGTCCACTGACAGACATTATCTGGAATCAAATCGATTACTTTAATTGATTCCCTCTCAGCCTTCTAAAACCGATTCATTGCTTTGTAGTTAAGATTCCGGCTGCGAACGCTTCGGCCGAGTTTAGTTGAAAGAGCACCCGCTAATGTAGAATAAATGGGTATCCTTGAATTACTTTTAACTGGTACTGAGTAAATAATGCTTTTAGAAATTACTTAATGACATTTCATAATAACTTTAAATTCGAAATCGATTCCAGCAAGCTGCCGATGCGTACACTTTTCAGTATTCTCGTATGTCGTATCATGGACCGAACTTCGCGCCAACACTACCATTCTTCGAGAACTCGGCATTAAGCAGCGTCTTTCGGCGCTCGTGCATGGGCGCATACTATCATTTTTTGGACATGTCTCCCGGCGAGAAAATTACTCCATAGAGCGCCTTGTCGTTGAGGGCAGGGTGGAAGGCACACTTTTCAGTACTCTAGTACATGGTTTTAGAAAAACAACCAACAGTGCTAAGCTTGCAAGGTGTCGCTTTGTTTGTAATGACGTGTTCATATTTACTTAATTTAAAAAACCTAAAATATACTTATTACCAAAAAAATCATCGAAATACTCATGAAGGAAGAAGTCTTTGTTACATTGGCGTCTCCAAACCACAGCAGCCACCATGGGACAGTGGTTCCGGAAGTGGCGCATTGACATCAACCCCTTGAAAAGCACAGCGGTGCTCTTCAAAAGGGGTCACCCTCCAAATATAATTTCGAGTTAACACCATTCACTCCATCACCTTTTTCGACCAGCCCATACCGCAGAACTTGAAGGTTAAATATCTAGGCGTCACTCTCGATAGAGGGATTACATTCCGTCCCCACATTAAGACGGTACGCGATCGAGCCGCGTTCATATTAAGACGCATCTATCCGATGATTTGCAAGCCAAGTAAGTTGTCCCTTCGTAATAAGGTGACACTCTACAAAACTTGCATACGCCCGGTCATGACCTAGTGTTCGTTCACGTGACTGGCACTAATTTGAAACCCCTTTAAATCATACAGGATACAATCATACATTTTGCAGGATAGCCATCGGAGCACCGTGGTTCATGAGGAGCGTGCATCTTCATGACGAGCTTGACTCCAGCAGTAAGTATTTTCAATCGGCATCAGTGCGTCATTTTGAGAAGGTGGCACAACACGAAAGCCCTCTTGTCTTGGCCGCCGGTAAGTACATACCCGATCCTGCGGACCAAATGGTAAACAGTCGACGTCGCACTTAACACGTCATTTCGGATCCTCCTGATCTACAAACGGTGCTTTTAGGTCTCAAACGCGGGCCACCGTTTTTGTCGAACCCGTCGCTCGCCACGAAGGACTTGGCGAGAAAATTAACCCACAGACACAGCCCACTGAGTTTCTCGCCGAATCCTCTTAGTGGGTCGCGTTTCCGAGGCGGTGGTAGATTCTGCGAAGCACTGCTCTTGCTAGGGCTAGTGTTAGCAAAGTCCTCAGGTTAGAGCCCTATAAGCTTTCCTTCTTGCTCGCTCGATTACCAGCTTAGGTAGGAAAAAAAATAGAAGATACTTGAACCACAAAAATCATAATTTACTTTCGCAGATACAGACTTTATATTACGGCCCTACACTACTCCCTAAAACTAGCATAAATTCAAAACTTGCTCATCCTCAACTATTCTTAGCTAGAAAATATTATATTTTGTTCATTTGTTCACGTTCCAAATAATTTTGTATCAAGAAAATATAATATTTTCTTTGAACAAAATTCACGGTTATCGTTTCCAATATTTTGATAGAACACGTCCACTATGAACGAGTTTATTTACATGAGAACGTACAGCATGTATACCATCGGGACCCTCATAAGGCGATGCACGAGTAAGCACGATGTAGACTGGGCCCAAACGACACTTGTAAAATTTCACGCTAAGTTGCCTGCCTTATCTATGTAGCTACAAGAAAATATCGGAATAAGATTATGTTGCAGTATATTTGTGACTGGAATATTTCGAATTTTTATTAAATATCAGTGGTCCCGCAGTAGTCGATATTCATCGTCGACTATAATTGATTGAAATAAATAGTAATAAGTTTGTAATTATAGTAATAATAATAAGTTTGAACATTATTATGGTTCTATTGTCAAAGACTATTATACTTCTAATGACAGACTACACTATAGACAAA